ATAAACGTCAATCAGGTGACCAAAAGGAGTAGCAACGGAATCACCAAACAACATGGATTTGGCTTGGATAAACCACCAAGCACAATATCCATAAATCCACAGGAAAATATTAAAACCATGATGCAGGGGCAGTAATAGCAGAGTGAGTCTTGGAAGCAAAAGCAAATGTTTAAAGACGAGAAAGTAAAGGGGAAGGGGTGCAGTTAGTTATCTCGGGAGCGTCTGGAATCAGCCTCGTTATCGGACTGACCAACGTCAAAACCGTCTTCTCCAATCGGGGGATCCATCTCATCTTGAAGCTTTGACCAGGTAGCAACGTCCTGTTCCGCAGTCTAGTTTGACATCTCGCCTGCGAGGAATGAAGTCATCAGTTCACCTCTGGTTTTCCAAGCATAAAAACAGGCCGCGTCAGTAACCTCTTGTTTCTTTTTCCTCCCATACGCTTCCAACGACTTAATACGGGTTTTTAAAGTTGAGATTTGAGTTGTTAAAATCGAACTATCGCTACGGAGACTTTGGATCGTTCGAGCATCAACATCAGCACGAGCGTGAAAACTTTTCTCTTTTCTTTTTAATTCGTCCACAGCCTTTTCTAGCAGAACCAACCTTTCTGCAGCAACAAGGCTAGCTTGAACACTCTGCCAGGTTAAAACAAATTTCTCTCAAGAAGGATTAAATTTCTACAGGTACCAAGCACTTACAAAACGACGAGATACCTGGAAAGCAAAAGCCGAGGAAGCCAATACCAGGCCAGCTGAGGACACATCCTTGAATACAACGGACGAGGAGGAAAGCAGGACTTGAGGCATTTCACTTCCCATCACACGAGCATCCTTCAAACAGCAAAAGCCACGAGAGAAAGAAGCGTTCATCTTCCCACCAGAGTCAGGATTGGTGGTGGCACTCACTGGACGAGGAGGAGCAGATTTCATCTCTGTATTGGGGCATTGTGGAGTTTTGGAACAACCAGAGGCCAACTTAGATGGGATTTTCTTCTTTCTCGAAACCATGTTAAGAAGATCGTAATCAGAAGGTATCGGCCGTGTGTTAGACGAAGAAACAGCTGCGGCAAAGGAAAATATATAAACATTCTAAATAAAGCAACATTTGACGAATAATTGAGATAGCTGAAACCAGTACCAGCGTGTTGTGCAGAACGTTTTGCTGGAAAATAACAGGAATCCTGACCACCGGGAAACACCATCTGAAGAGGAACGAAAGCACTTGCATTTTCACCTCCACCCCTCGAGGTTTCTGATTCATGGTCTGAATCATCTACAGAGACCACGCGTGAATCTTGGGCATCGTCAAGGACGTTCTGAATATTACGGCGAGAGCGCCTTAATCCAACGGACCGAGAATGGTCAGGAGTGGGAGACATACCTTCATTATCAACCACTAGATTCCCAAAGGTCCGTTCGGAAGTAGTTAAAGATAAAATTTTGACAGTCCTTCCTTCAGAGTCTGGACCATAGCTCAAGGGGATAGTCTTCCTATCTAAAGCAAAAAAAAACAGTGAAAACGGTAATTTTGACGTATTGCAGACCAGCCGTATAACAATTAAATACATTTGAAATTCATATGTAAAACAAGGAGTTGTCAAGATACCTTTGTGTAAACTCTCTTCGAGAAATGCGCCCTCAGAACTTAGGGAATCTTTTTGCACAAAGAAGAACTGGCTCATCCAGCCACGATCATTAGCTTTGTCCGCCCTCAATATCAGCGCCTCGCGAGCATCTTTGACGGCCAGGGTAAACCGACCAGCTCCAGAAGAACGAAGATCATAGGTAAAACCCAGATCTTCGAAGGAGAAGGGGATGCTGTGTTTTTCGCTTAATACTTCTAAACCACGCAGAACCCTCCATACTTGTGGCATTACTTGGGAAGGAGAAACCTTGACAAAGGCTAAGAAATCTCTAACTAAGGAAGAGAAAGGGAATTTCATACCAATCTTGAAGGGATACATGAAGAAGTTGACTCAACCATCACAATGCCAATCAACCCGTTCGTTAGCGGCCGGAAACCGGATGGATGCATGCGCTGGAAATCCGGAACCATTCTTGATGGCTTCGATATGATTCTCCGAGAGTTTAGCCTGTTTTGCATTCTTCGGATCAAGGATGTGTCGAGGGATGAACTGTTGAGACGCCATAGATTCTCACGATGGATCTCTGCAAGAATCAAGCGAAAGGTATTTCACAAAAGAGGAGTTATGGCTGAAAAGAGACTACTCTGACAGAGGGTTGGTTACTCGAGGAAGGAGGCTGACGGTTTTGTCCATTTCGAGGTAGCATCAAAACGTTTAAAATTCAAAGAAGTAATCGACCGGTTGGATTAAATTGGTAACGATTACTACTTCAAATTTTAGGGGCAATTGTTGGGCCCGGATCTGTCAAGCGAATCGGCCCATTACATTAGATTTGAGTTTACTGGATGGATCGGCCCACGTGACCTTAAGGAGTCCACAGAATCCGGCTTGGTCAAATGACATGACGAAGTGGATAAGAGCGCCTAAGAAGTTGAGGAGAAAATGGAGGAACATATCCCGATTTAGTAGGGGAAGGCTACCATTTCGCCGGGTAGTTCGTCCGCATGGGGGAAAGAGTTGGAAATTCTATTTTAAATAGACTGGCGGTAGAAGAGAGAAAGGACGGACTTAATTATCTATGCACTTGTAATACTACTTTTTGAATCATACAGATTAATATACTCTCATTCATTAGCTTTCGGTTCTTATATTGTGTTTCTTGTACGATCCCTACATACATATAATTTTAGACTGGTTTAATTCTTGCTTAAACAGACCCAAACCCAGTAATTTGATAAGTGATTAGCGATAACCCATAAAAAACAGTTAACCTATAAATCGGGCGACTCCAAAGTCTCGCAATCCCAAACGCATACTCGTCAGCTGTGCTGTTGGTCTTCGTCGTCCAGGCTCGAACATCTTCTTTAGCAGTTCCGCCAGGTATCCCGTGGGTCATAGCTATTTTTGGGATAGAGTATTTGTTTTATATGCGTCTGTATTTTATTTACTTAGCTTCGGTAATTAGTACTCCGTATTTACTTGTTTCAATTTTAGGGTAGTCATCACCCATAGGTTGACTTTAGACTTTACTTGTTTTTGTGGCTCCAAAATTATCCTGTAGTGTCTACTTTTTGTAATTCTTTTTTTGTTGCTACGATATTAATTAATTGCTTTATATTATTTCTATTTAATATTTTAATGTTTTGTACGGAGTATATATTTATTTCGTTGCTCCAGTAGGCTGTATTAATTAATTTGTATTAATTAATTGCTTTGAAATATTTATGTTTAATATTTTAATGTTTTGTACATCGTATTTCTTTATTTCATTGCTCCAGTAGGTTGTATTAATTAATTGCTTTAAAATCTTTCTATTTAATATTTTAATGTTTTAGTGTTGAATGGTGTAATGTTGTAGTGTAACTAGTGTTGTACAGAAACACATTGAAAAGTTTGTATTGTTTCTATTTTAAGAAAAGTTTCTATCGTTTCAATTTTCTTAAAACAAATTCCAATTTTCCCCATATAATAGTTGAAATTTCAGTTGTTTTTTATATGTTATACTACGTATTTGATTATTGCCTAAATAACCGTGTTGTTTTGCTATGGGAACCTTCCAGCGGGACGGAGGTAGTATTTCACACCTGATTAGTTCAGACTAAACTAATTTTAAATACATCAGACTACATCAGATAAAAATTAGTGTTTTTAATTTTTTATATAGATGCTTGTACTTAAAGTTAAGTTACTAATCTGTTTAATTACTCCGTATAACTTTTAATTTCTATTTTTTCTCGAATTTGTGATCCATTGATACTAAACTTACAGCCGTGCTTAGTGTACACACCTACTTTTTACACCCCATAAATATTACGGAGTACTTCAAAAAATTTGTGGTTTTTATAAACACGGCTAAATTAAAGTGTGTGTGCAAAGTGTGTGTGTGTACAAACTCCAACCAGAAAAAGGTTGCTCGTTGAGTATTCACTTCCAGATATTATGTTGGTGAGATTAGAGAAAACCACCAAAATATCAAGAATTTTCTCTACCTTCTCCCAACCTTCTTTTGATGAACATGACGTGTAACTGGGTTCCTTTCTTTGATATATTGGAAATACATCCTTGAACATATATGCACAATGCAGCATATCATAGGTTGAGTTCCAACGTGTTTGGCAATCAAGTATGAGTTTTCGGCCAGACACTTGCAATTGTTGGACAACTTCACAAAAAGTGTTCATCCGGGCTTCACTTTGGTTAAGAAAAGAGACATTATCCCTTATATCTTGTATTACAGATTTGATTCTAGACAAACCATCTTGAACAATAAGATTCAAGATATGTGCACAACACCTCACATGAAAAAGCTTTCCACCACAAACCAAATCTTTAAGATTCAAGATATGTGCACAACACCTCACATGAAAAAGCTTTCCACCACAAACCAAATCTTTCTTCATCGCAAAGATTTCCCTCAAGTTCTTGATTGCAGTGTCATTTGCTGAAGCATTGTCTACTGATATAGTATAAATTTTGTTCTCAATTCCCCAATCTTTCAAACACTTGTACAGAGCATATGAAATATTATCACCACTGTGTGGTGGTAGAATATGAACAAAATTCAGCACCCATTTGTTGAGCTTCCATTCAGCATCCAGAAAATGGCTTGTGACTACCATGTAACCAATCTTTTGGTTCTTTGATTTCCATAAGTCCGTCGTCAAACTGATCTTTGAAATGTTAGAGAGCATAGATTTTTCCTTTTTCTTTTCGTACTCATAAACTTTGATGCAGTCATTTCTTAAAGTAACTCGACTGATTCTTTCATAAAAAGGATTAGCTACTTTCATCATAAAATTGAACCCTTCTTCTTCTACGATGGAGAATGAATGTTCATGCATCATGGACCAGTGACAAATGGCTTCTTTCATTTTTCCATGATCGTACTCCCCCCCCCCCCCCCCCCCACAATTGCTGGAGATAGGGAAGGCATACTTTGATTGCTTGCTTGAAAGTTTAGTAGACCATGTTGCCTCATGGTCGCCCTCCTTTGAGAACATGTCTTCATATGTCTAGTCAAATGCGTTGGTGTGCCAGTCGCTTGCCAAGACAACTTCACTTTACAATGGCCGCATTCAGCTTTTACCACCACTCCTTTGTCATTCTTTATCTGGGTGAAACATTTCTCCCAAACTTTTGACCGTTTTGCTCTTTCTTTATTCAAATTCAGAGCTGATTCTTCAATTATAGCCTCTTCATCTCCACCATGCCTCGCCTCAGTCTCTTCAGGTATATCTGCTATCTCCTCTACATGTGACTGATCGGTGTTGATAGAGGTATCAACTTCTTCTGCCATTATAAAAATTGAGTTTGACCCTTCACTAAAAGGTAGAATGCTGGTGGATGGTGCCTGCATAAATCTGAAACACAAGCAATACATCATTCAAATGAATGAAACACAATTAGGTACATGAGTACATCCCTCCTATTATAATAAAAAATGCACAATCATCTGATTAGATAAAGGTTTCTATATCCTACAACCAATCAAGCTCATACTTAATATAGAAAATTTTATAACTAGTTTCCAGGTTATTCAATCAAGCTCCTACTTAATATAGACATTTTTATAACTAGTTCCAGGTTATTCAATCAAGTTGTTACCATACTTAATATAGAAATATATATGTTTTATACTTAGTATACAACTAATAAGACACATTAATGCACATAAAATAATAAAGTAAAGTTTAAATGTAACTGAAGAGAACTAACCCCTCAATTGGTTCCCAACTTCTATTCGGAAGCTTCTATTCGGACCAGATTGTACGATCCCTTCAATTGTACGAACCAGATTCCGAAGCTTTCACATTTGGTTCCCAACTTCTATTCGGATCTGCCTATTTACCCTACAATACTTTAGTTGTCATTTACGTAGTAGTATATTAGTGCAATAATTAGTGCTTAGAACAAAGCAATTTCAGGCTTTATGCTCTTCTTCTACAAAAAAACAAAAAAAAACACTCACCACATTTTGAATTGACCGTACATAAATATACATATTTCACTTGAAATATACGTATTCAAATGATTAAACACAGTGATACATAGTAGCAAAATAAAAAATAGAGAACCAGATTTCGAAGCTTCAGTTTTGGTTCCCACTTCCCAGCTTCTATTCTAATTTGCCGCTTCAGCCTTTAAATGTAAGAAAAAAGTATTAGATGATTGAAAGTTACAAAGAGATTGAAGTTTCGAACAGCTTATCACTATTGTAGACTTACCGTCTTTACCGATGGGAGAAGATGAAGTTGGCAAATACTACGTAGATCGGTAGATGATTAAACCCTAAGTTTTACTTTAAGCTTAAGAGAAGATTTTACAATTTTGACTTTTGGACTATCAATTTTGGGGAATTAATTAATAATCTTGGGTATAAATATTAAATATTTAGGGTAAAAAATATTTATTTATACAAGTGTTCGATAGGCTCGATAACATATCGAATCGAATACAATCGTGTTCGAGCTCGGTTCGTTTTTCTATTCGAGCTCTAAATTTAGCTCGTATTAAGATTCGGAGTTCGTTAAGCTCGGTTCGTTAAGCTCGAAAACGAACAAGAGCTCGAACTACTCGATAAATGTTCCGTTCGTTAACAGCCCTATGCAAAACGCGTACAAATGGCTTGTACAATAGGAATCCCTTATACTTAATAGTGATACAAATTCATCTGAACCGCTCACTTCTATTGATCTGCACCATCACTTCCATTTCTTTTCTGATACACGTATCATCGATCTCGGCCTTCTGTAATCTTCTTTCCTCCTTCCATCTTCCATTTGTTTCACTATCACCGATCTCATTTCTTGCCTTTTGTAGTCCTCTTTCCATTTCTTTCCGTCTCTTTTCCATGGCCGACAAGCATTTCTTTGCCGGAATGAAACATCACCGCCACAATATCCCCGGCGCCACCAAGACGTTCGACGCCAATTATGGTCAATCGTTGCCGGAATGAAACATCACCACCACAATATCGTCGGCGCCACCAAGATGTTCGACGCCAAGGTTATGGTCAATCCCCGTGGGACAGGAGAAATCAGATACCTTCGCACCCTCTGAATTGGCTTGATCGAACCCTCTGTATATCTCAAAGCCGCCCAATTCCGTCCAAAGGTGATTATCTAAATTATGGCGATCAATTTCCAATCCAATTTTAAAGATTCTTCAATTTCAATTCTAAAGATGATTAATCAAAAGATTAGTTTTCGAATTTTGATATGATCTGGGAGCTGTTTGGCAATCAGGATGCCATCAATTCCTCAATTTGTTCTTAATTAGGATACCATCCAATTCCACAATTTGTTCTTCTCAGTTTTCGAATGGTTTTTGTATTGAGTTATGTTTTTTATATTGATTGTGGAGGACTGGAATCATTTTTTGAGTTAATCCATTTGGCTTATAACTTGATCGATTTTGGGTTGTTTGAGTGGAGATAGAAAATGTTGGCTAGAAAGAAGTTAAATAAAAGCCTTATACAAGTCTTATGGGTTGATTGTTTTTATGAATAGTTCGACCGCTGTCAAATACCTTAAGCTACCAACATCATGCAATATGGTGGTAATATAGCCTTGATTAGAACTGTATGTGCACATATATTTCAATAAATGAAGTACAATCTTTTGATTTTCATTAACTTCAACTTATCACTTAAAACTTAAAAGCAAGCCAATATTGATATTGGACTTTTTAGTGATCACGTGCTTCTAACGCACTTCTGTTTGCAGAATGTCCTGATCAAATTTGTGCTTGGCAATTTGAAATATTTAGGAAAGCTTTGGATATATAGGAAGTTAGGACTTAGGAACTAGCTTCATGGGGTACTGTCGACATTATCTTTTTTACTCATAGTGCCGGTAAAGGTTTCTATCACTTAAAACTTAAAAGCATGCCAATATTGATATTGGACATTTTAGTGATCATGTGCTTCTAATGTAGTTTTGTTTGCAGAATATTTTAGCAAGCCAGAATATGCTGATCAATTTTGTGCTTGGCGATTTGAAATATTGAGGAACGTTTTGGCCCATATAGGAACTAGCTTTATGGGGTACTCTCGACATTATCTTTTTTACTCATAGCACCGATAAAGGTTTCTATCACATTATTCGCAAAGTCCTGATTGTGACTCTTCTTATGTCAGGGTTACCGCATCACTAGAGGTAATAAGTTATTTCTAAAGTAACCAATTACAGTTTATCAGTTCTAGAATCTGGGCAGCTAAGCACCTAAGTACCAATTTAAGATTGTTGTGAATAAAGAACACAATTGAGCCACACCATATTAAGGAATAAGGTTACGCTCATGATTTCAATATCTAAGAGGAATGTTTTTTTATTCCTACTATAATAGAATCATTGATTGTATTAATTTGTGGTACTATCCCCTTCATTCTATTAATTTTTTACTCCGTATAAGTTCTGAGTTCTCATGAACTAATAAATTTCTATTAGTTCCAGACTTCCAGTCTCCAATTTAATGTTTTTCAAAAGTAATAGATTCAACCAGGTAATATCTACCGGTGAACTATTAGTTAAGAATAGATTTAGGATTAGGCTATTAGTCTCTTATAAGCCAAATCACCTTTTTCTCGCATCACTATAGAAAGGGACGATGCTTTATTTTTTCAGTCATGAGAACTATTCAGAACTATTAATGCTTAGAAAAAAAATCTGGAGAACAAAAGTTTCAACTTTTATCACTTTCATCACTCCCATTGTGTTATATTGTTTTCATGTATTTATCGAGGACATATAGCATTCCAAAGGCATGGCAAAGACAAAGTTACTGAAGTAAAAGATGTACTAGGGAGAAGCAAAATCAATGTATTTACGAACACTTGATATTTGAAATTGTAAGCTTATTCATGATGCAGTATTGTCATTCTAATAGAACTTATTTCTTAATAAGGTTATATGTCTGTTTTACAAACAATTAACACATACTCACTGAATAAGAAATACAAATATCCACATAAACATTAAATGTTTTATGTGAAATGTGAAAAAAAATGCAGCTTTAAATCTGAGCAATGGAGTGTCTTGGTTGAGTTTCAAGTTGGATTAACAAGTAGCTTTAGGTAGTATGTGAAATAGCGCATTTGAGTAAATATATATTCAATTTTTTTTATAGAAGTGTTAATAATTGTATATATGCACAACAAAACTACTTGGTAATTGATCGTGTTCTTATTTTTTTTTCTTTTTTTTTCACTATTGCAGGTATCTTCATTGAAAACGAATGATAATGTTTGAATATGAAAGGTCTTCAATTTGTAATGATTAGATGGCTATTTGAATGGGATTACGTGAGATTATCACAAACTTTAACTAATAAGGTTCAAAGATATTTTTACATGTAGGATTCATGGGTTTTATAAGGTGTTTGATGGTAAATTTTAAAATATATCTTTTGCTTCTATCACTATAATTAATAGGAGTTTTCCTTTTTCCTAAAACTTTTAATAAGTAGACTTGACTTCTAAATATTTGAAAACTTGTAACTTCTAACATACTTCTTATATAGCAGTTTTTGTTATCTATTTTTGTATTTCCAATTTAAGAATGGTTTTTGCTCAACAAATATAAGTTTCGGCTCATCAACGAGAAGAACAAGTATTGAACTCCAATCAATCAATCATAGACCAGGTTGATAGGGTCAACATGTTGGAGCAAATAGGTTCGGGGGTCAAGGGCATAGGGAGTGTTTGGATATAATTTTTAAGTAGATATGAAAGTAATTTAAAAGTGAAAGTGCAAGAGTACTTCTAAGTGCTCCGAATTGTTGCTAGAAACAATTTTCTAGAAGTTGATGGAAATTATCTTCTGAAAAAATAATTCTGATTCTACTTCCGCTTATAGAAAAGATGTAAAATCAGAATTAATTCCAAACACTCTCATACTTATCTAAGCTCAAATTTAGCTTCTTCGTCGAGCTTAGATAATAACCTTATATGACATACAATACTTAGAAGGGAAAATGAAAACTAATAAGCCAACCTTTTAGCGGGCTTCTTACAATAGTCCCATCTTTTGATTATTTAGGAATAATCCGACCTTTGCATCCCATCTTCATTCAATGGTCCTCGATCGGTTGATGACCTGCTATTCCAAGTTATTTTCTTATCTTTGCAATATATTATACCATAAATCTCAACCGGTCACATAATGTTTTGCAAAGATAAGAAAATAACTTGAAATAGCAGGTCATCAACCGGTCAGGAAGCATTGAATGAAGATGGGGTGAAAAGGTTGGATTATTCCTGAATAATCAAAAGGTGGGATTATTATAAGAAAACCGCTAAAAGGTTGGATTATTAGTTTCCATTTTCCCGAATGACCTAACAATGTTAAATGTTCTGGTTTGTTAAGTCATGAGCTAAATAGATCAATCATCTCAATTTTTGCAATGATTGTGAGAAAATAGATCAATCACCTCAATTTTGTAATGGTATGACTTTTAGTGACTAAACTTGGAGCTATAGTATCAAGCCTCAATTGACGTGTATTGAGAGTGAAAAAGTTCTTATTCCTAAACTTTGTTTAACACCATCAAACATTACACTCCTCTTCACTCTCAATGTAGACAATTTTCATTAATAGATAGTTATGTAATGACCATTAATAAGAGTGAAAAAAAGTCATTAGAAAACTGAAAAAGATGATGTCTTCCTTAGTCACCCCATTTTTACACATAAACAACGATATATGGTGGTCTCCAAAGTAACAACCCATATGAATTGAAGCTTGAGATTTGTGATGAAGATGAATAATAGGCACACCTACGGTGTATATGTTGTATACGAAGGAGAATAATTTGTAATTTCCTTCAACACTTTCTGACTTACACTCACGTCCTATTAATCATATGATGTTTTTCATTTAATGTTTCCCATTTAGTTCTTTATTTTCTATTATAATGGCCATATGATGTTTTTCGTTTAATGTTTCCCATTTAGTTCTTTATTTTCTATTATAATGGCATCTTATTGTAAGTTTATTTCAATTCATTGGATCACTATCAAATTTTGTAGTTTTTTATATAATTGCATCTAACTTATTATGTGAGTATTTTTCTCCCGTGCAACGCACGGGTGGAGTAACTACTATTTCTTAATATAATACTTTCTGATATTTGTTGTCCTAAGATAATTACTCCGTATAACTTTCTCTTTAAAGTAACTACATTTTTATTCTAATTGGTTCTTTCTCTTTTATTAAAAACCTTACTCGCACACTTTTCCAATCTTATTCCTATTTCCCCCATCTTGGCAAATTTCAACCGGTGGATGAAGCAAAAATCTTTTTACAAAATACTAAAATTATGATGCATTTGCAAAGAGGAAAATCAATGACGAAATAATAGTGTCACCATTTCATACAAATAATTGCTTATAAAATATGATTTTGTCATTATACTTATAAAATATGTGACACAAGTTATCGTCATTAATTTTATTAATTTGTCACACAAAGATTTCCCTCCAAAAAATTGACGTCACATTTTGGCGCTCAAAGTTTAGATGACAAAGATGAGTTTATTGTCATATTTTATATTAAATAGTGACGAAAAGTGAGACAATAAATGACAATAAATGGCATTGTCATAAAAAGTCATCTTATTGTGACGAATTTGAGTTTTGTAACAATAATTCAACAATATGTGACATTTTTTTGTGTGTCACACAAATTTTTGTCATAAAATGTATGATTTCTTGTAGTGTAGCTAGCTCAATGGGGCAGTTAGTTTTACTTGTTCCACAAGTATTTCCTTCTACACTATAAATATCACCTTACACCTTATGGGGAGGGATCACATTATGTATTCTCAAGCCTACTGTTACCCTACCAAATTCTTACTCGACCTATACTTAGTAACTTTCCGACTCTCCCTCAAGTTTTGTCTACCATACCCCAGGGTCAACGAAGACATCACTATTCTGGAGGATTTTTCTCGCGCTGTTTGGTTTCATTTCTTACGTGAGAAAAATGAAGTGACAAATGTTTTGAAAAGTTACTTTTCCATGATAAGCCACCAGTTTAATAAAGAAGATAAAATTGTTAAAAGTAATAATGAGAGTGAATATAATTTCAATCATTGAAAAATTATTTACTTAGCGATGGAATTCATCTTCAAACCTCTTATGTTGACACCTCGCAACAAAATGGATAGGTGGAGCGGAAGCACGGGCTTATTATTAATGTGACTTGTACCATGCATTTTCATGCCTGTTTACCGATTCAACATTGGGGAAAACGTGTCTTGGTTGCAGGCTATTTGAACAACTTGGTCCCTTTTCCGATAATTGATGAGAAAACTCCGTATGAGTTGTTGTATTTGATCTATAACACTCGTTGGGTCTTTGGATGTCTTTGTTATGCTCGGACATTGAATCAGTCTCACAACAAGTTTTTCGAAACTATTTTCTTTGGGCTATTTTCAGTCTCAAAAGGTTGAAAGGTATTTGATCTTGAAACCAAACAACATTTTATTTCTCGGGATGTGCAGTTTTCCGAAACTATTTTCCAATTTGCTGAACAAACAAAGGATCCATGTGAAGCTCCATCTACCACCCCTGTGCTTCCGTATTTCCTTTATGGTGTGATTTCTAATTTCTCTTATAACCACATAACATCCTCTCCTACATTGACAGTTCCTGCCATGCACCCATTTCCATCACTCACAAACCAAACTTCACCAACACCCGACAACCATGGTAACATCCAGCTCGGTCATGCTGAAATTCCATTCTATCCACCTCTCATTGTCACAACTTTGGGCTGTCACACAGCATCCCCACGATGTGATACCAAGTTGGATCTCACCACTTCAGATAACATTGGTCTCATACAAAGAAGTCAATGCCGACATGTACCTCTTGCCTGGCATTCAGACTATGTTCACCTCAATTCGATCAAAATAGACTCTCCCCCCACTGCTCTTCCATCCACGACTTCCTCAGGTACTTCGAATTCTTTAACTCATTATGTAAATTTTAATTGCTTTTCTAGGAAACACCGTGCTTTTCTTGCCTCCATTTTTTCTATTGTCGAACCAGACATTTCGTGACGAAGTTCAGGATCCTAAATAGCATGAAGCCATGAATCGAGAAATAGAGACTCTTGAATGTAATGGCACATGGACTCTTCAATCTTTGCCACCGGAAAGAAACCCATTCACTCTAAATGGGTTTACAAAATCAAATACAAAAGCGACGAATCCATAGAGCTATATAAATTCGGTCTTGTAATTTGCAGAAGCCGCCAAATTGAAGGCATCAATTATCATGACACCTTCACCCTGGTTGCCAAATTGGTCACTGTTCGCACCATTCTGGCCATTGCTGCATCTCATCACTGGCAATTGTATCAGCTAAATGTAGATAATGCATTCTTACATGGTGACCTCCATGAAGAGGTTTATATGCATCTTCCTCCGGGGTACCACACTTCAATGACGGGAAAAGCTTGTTTTGTGTATGCTCCCTTTATAAGCTTGTATGCTCTTCAGTGTTGGTTCTCCAAATTGACAGGGGCTCTTAAGGCTTATGGATTCTCTCAATCTTATGTTGATTATTCACTTTTTACTCTATGACGTGATAATGATATTTTATTTATGAGTCCTCATTTATGTGGATGATTTACTTATTACAGGAAATAGTTATGTTTTAATCCATGATTTCAATACTTGTTTGGGTCATTCCTTCCCTGTCAAGGATCTTTGTACCATGAAGTATTTCCTTGGCATAGAGATCGCTCGCAATCCCACTAGAATTTTTATTTGTCAGCGCAAATATGTCCTTTACATTCCTGTTGAAACCGGTCTTTTATCCCATGGTCTAGAGTGACTACTTGCAGGTAGATGATGGCTCGTTTATTGTGATCCTCATTGGTGACGCCGCCTTGTTGGTAAGCTCATTTGCTTGACTCTTGCACAACTACATATCTATTACTTGTCCATATCCTATCTCAATTCATGAAACACCCTCGTGTACGTGGCTCACTGGGAGGCTGTCTTTCGAGTACTGCGATATTGGAAAGGACACTCAGGCCAAGGAATTCTTCTATGCAGTGACTCGTCTCTCTCTTTAACCGGCTATTGTGATTCAGATTAGGCGAGTTGTTCACTCATCCAGTGCTCTGTTTCTCGCTATTTTGTGACCATTGGACATTCACATATCTCTTGGCGCACAAAGAAGCAAGTCATTTTCTCTCAATCCTGCTGAAACTGAGTATCGTTCCATGGCATCATTAACATGTGAACTTATTTGGCTAATGAACCTCTTGACCTCTCTCGGTGTATCTCATTCTCAACCCATGCGGTTATTATGTCACAATCAAGCAGCTTTTCACATGACCTTTAATCCTGTTTTTCATGAAAGAACCGGACACATCGAAATTGACTATTACTTTCTTCACGACCACGTTCAAAACAAGACTATCCAGCTCTCTCACAAAACATCCACTAAACAACTTGTTGATATCTTCACCAAGGCTTTGGACTCTCAGCAATTTACATATCCATTATAGAAGATGGGCATCCAAGATCTGCATGCTCCACCATGGGGGGTGTTAGAGCCCATATATTTTATTTTCTTCTCTTTATTTTTGTATGTTATGTAAATATTCTATCTTATTTGTAGTTGTATGTTTTACACTATTTCCTAGGCTAGATTTTTCCTTCTTTCTAAAACTCTTTGACATGTGTTGTAAACCAGCCAAAGAAGATACCAATTTTTTTCACAAATCTAATATAATATTATACCTTTAGAAATATGTCTTGATATGATGTTTTAAAAGGAGCATAACATTAATACCAAATGAGCACATATAACTTATAAAATGAGCATTGAAAAATTCAAAAGCTCATTTGAGCATCAAAACATCTTCATTGAGTATCGTCTTCTTTACTATTAATCATTATGACTCTGTGAGCATTCTTCAATCTGGTCATCACGAGCTCCAATCTGACATGTGGTGGTCATGTGAGTTTCATCGGCTAGGAGGAGCTAGCGGGCCATGAGCACGAGCATCTTGTGCGAGATGAGCATTTGGACGTCTAGGTGTGAACAACGATTCGTCCATATGGGTGCGAGCAGCTGCCCAGGTGTGAGAGGCGGGTTGTCCACCTGGATGTGAGCGGTGAGCCATTCGTTTGTGTCAGCAGTGGTGAGTGATGCACAACGGCTACATATAACTCGACTATACCGTGCACATGATACAACCGATTAAACGATATAATTTTTCCTTTTTGTGTACACCCCCTGTTGTACATCTGTATACAAGTAACTCATTTTTAAAAAAAGTTCGGGATTATGTGTTTACACAGGTGAGTGTACAAAAAAATGTACACTTTTTGTACACCATGAATTGCTCAAGGAAAATACTATCCACGCACACTCATGACACGTCGTATTTGGCATGTTTTACGAGTCTTGTATTCAATACATTTTTAATGGAAAAAGTTTATATTAAAATATTGAAAACTAGTAGATGTGCATTGAGACAAGAATTCCCAAATTTGATCACAAACCCTAGGATTAGATATAAAATCATATACCCATATACAAGCAAATTGACTCGATAACCACAAAGCGGAAAATAGAATGACAATAGTAACCAAAATCTTTAACATGTCCCCTAACTCACCTACCCGTGACATCTACTAACTATCACAAGAAAAAACACCTCACAATCCAAAGTATGCATGGCGACCACACAACAAAAATAGAAATCTGATTGAAAATAAAAGAAAAACTAAAAATTAAGTCATGCATGGACAAAGGTTGAATCTTCACGCTTCACGCCCCATTTTTTTGTCGATTGTCTCCAAATCCATCATTCATTGACCTTCCTATATCTCCTGTTTCTCGACCCGATAACGTTTATGTTCCAACACTTGCACCCCTTCCTTATGCTTCCCTGCATCACTGCGCATACCTTCACAGCCACCAAATCTTTGCCACCCTGAGAAGTAGAAACTTCTCCTATGTCTACAGAATTGGGAGTATGAGCCCATCCTCGTCGTCCCTGAATCTAGACTTTTGTATTGATCCACCAGTTGAAACTCAATTCGATCTACACAGAAATCGCCTAGTGATTTTGTATGACTGCTTCACTCTGTAGTATAAATTATGTTGTTTAATGAAGATGATAACAATTAGTATCATACTATAATATCACATTATTTACTGATAATTGTGATCATTATTCTACACATTATCTTTTACTATCTCTCATGTACTTGATATACGTAACTTTTACAAAAAATCATCACTTTTTATGAATAATAACATGTGTCTAAGCGTGAAATTGGCTGATTGTGCTTTAAAGTTTCTAAATAGGTTCTATCTAGAAATTGAAATGTTTATTTTTATAATATATCTCTTTATCCATCTCACCATATCTATAAGGATCACGGATATAAACATAAATATAAGCACAAGTCGTGTAGTTAAAGAATATCTGATTAATAAAGAATCAATATAAGACAAAGTCATATTATCATTTAAGAAGATGTGGACTTATTTTTTTTTCATTTATGTGTTCATGTGAATTATATAATATTTTCATTTTAAAAAATATTCTTAATAAATACATAAATATTTCAAATATACTACGTATTCATTTTTATAAGGCAAATTCTAATGTATCTCCAAGATATGGCATCTTGTCAAGATGGGTCGATTAGTAATATTTTAAGAAAAATCTCTTTTTGAAATATGTTGTTATGAAGATTATTGTTTATTGCCATACAATTAGTGTCTAGTTCAACTAAGTTCAATTTTATGATTGTTAAATGAGAAATTGTCCAATATAGGATCAGTAAACATAAACATACTTGTACAAATTGGAGTAAAACTTAAAACTTCCTTCAATAGGAGTAAACATTAATTTTGTACTCTTAATATCCCTAACCTAGTTAATTCTTAAATAGGACTTATTTGATCCTGTTTAAAAAAATCTAAGTTCATTCATTGGAAACGATACCTTTATGCATCCCATCAATATTAAAATATGAAAAATTAAAAAGTTATTTTTGTAAAAATAAAAAACTTTAAAAATAAATAAAAAATAGATAAACTGTATTAAAAAATAAATAAAAAATTATGCAGGCCTTTCCCGCAGCCCCGATCATCACCCAGCAATGTCACATCTGATCGGTGAAAAAAATGCCATTTTATGTAAAAACTGTCATTTTTCTTTGAAAATGCCATAAAGATGGCAGTTTTACTCTTTGAAAATGCCAAAAATTTCTCAAAATCTACCATCTTGATGAAATTTCGGGAAAATGTTGGCATTTCTTTCGGTGATCGGAGCTGGTTGTGCTGGGAGGTTGTTGAGGCGGCGGTAGACGCCTACATATTTTTTTATATTTTTTTCATTTTTTATTTTTTTTAGAATTTATTTCGGTTTTTTATTTTTTATTTTTTTATTTTAATAATTTTTTATTCTATTTAATACGGAGTATATTTTATTTGATATTTTTGTGTTTTTTTTTACAATTTTATTATAAATTAATAAATCATATGGAGTATTTCTTTTATGTTTTAATTATTAATTAAAGTTGTTAGGGCTTGGGTAGGGAATACTTGTCCAAACACTAAAGTTACTTCTATTCAAAACATGGTACTCCTATTTTTGCATTTTGCTTAAGTTTTACTCCTATTTGGAGAATTCTCTCTTGTTAAATTGCATTTCGTACAAGCATATGTTCATTTGTGTGGATCTATCAACAAATGAATTCTTTTTAAAAGATTACCTTTTTTTAGCATCGATTACCTATTTAATAATCGATAGATATAGTAGAATTAAATAAATAAATGCATTCCTTTTATTTCAGTTTTCAATTCAACTATTCAATATCAATAATAGTTACTTCCCCATTTTGCAAAACTTTGCTTACTTTCTTTAATTAACGATTCTAAAAAATGTCGTTTTCATTTAAAGTAATAAATATGAGTAAAATTATTTTTCTCTTCTCTGCACAAATCTCTACCACGTGATTCTTATTTTCATATTCCACATGCAAGTCAATTTTGACAAAATTTCATGAGTGGAAGCACTAATTATTACTTGTATCGTTGTATTTTATACCTCCTCCATCCCAAAAAATTACTCACTTACCATTTCGAGATGTACCAAAAAAAATTCTCATTCCTTTTTTAAAAAAAAATTTGTGTGGCTAACATACATTTACATTTTTCTTACTCAAGCACAACCATGCATTTCCACTTTATTTCAACTTTCATAATAAGTGTGTCAAGTCAAACAGAGAAATATTTTTTGGAACGAAAGGAGTACTAAATACAATGATTTTAGCCGGATTGATCATGCTTCAATATGAAGTAGTACTTTACTTTAAAGAACATATCATTTTTCTAACTTTATCGTCTTATATTCTCAATTGATCATTCCTAATGTTTTTCTAATAATTTTATTTATATTTATTATCTCATCCTCGTTTTTCGGCAAATTATACCGTGCAACCGGCGCACCATGAGGATGGTGCGCCCGGTTGCAAAACGACGCAGCTTGCCCCCCCCCCCCCCCCCCCCCCCCCCCCCCTTTTTTTTTTGCTTTTGTTGTTAAAAAATGATAATAACTTTTTTATTTTTGATCCGATTTTTATAAAATTTATATCAACATTTTTTATTTTTCATGATCTTTCAAATGAGACCAATATTGCTTATGTAATTTTAAGAAATTATCGAACTATTATATTAATGAGTATTGGATTACAAGGAAAATTGAATCTGTTTGGGAGATGATAGGTTTGTGAAATAGAAGATCGAATCTATTTGGGAGTGAATTAGTGGCCTCAGTTACATTTGATAATACATTGAGTTACATCTTTTTATGAGCGAGTTACATCTTTTTATAAGCAAGTTACATCTTTTTATAAGCAAGTTACATCTTTTTATAAGCAAGTTACTTTTTTTATAAGCAAGTTACATCTTTTTAAAAGCGAGTTACATATATATAAACACGAGTTGCATTTGACATGCCTGAACGCGACTTACATATATTTACATGTAAAGTTACATATTTTTACACGTAAAGTTACATATTTATACACGCGAGTTACATATTTATACACACGAGTTGCATTTGACCTATCTGAACGTGAGTTACATATTTTTTTACGTAAAGTTACATATTGTTACACGTAGAGATACATATTTATACACACGAGTTGCATTTGGCCTGACTGAACGTGAGTTACATATTTTAACACGTAAAGTTACATATTTTACACGCAAATGTTAATATGTTAAAATTACATAGGCAATATTGGTCTCATTTGAAAGATCATGAAAAATAAAAAATGTTGATATAAATTTTATAAAAATTGGATCAAAAATAAAAAAGTTATTACCATTTTTTAAAAATAAAAGAAAATATATATATAAATCCGTACCGGTATACGGTGCTCACCGTATACCGGTCGTACGGTATAGGCACTCGAGTCCGCAATTTATATCGTGGGATCGGTGCACCATCCCCATGGTGCACCTATCCGAAAACGACATAGTTTTGCTCCGTATTAATTAAAAAAGCGGGTATCGCCGTTGTTATTACGCCGGATTAAAGAAGCTATGAGTGTTCCTTCGAGAGAGAGCATCGGAAATTGGTCATGACACTCGCCGGCGAGGAAGTGACAGCGGTCCAACTGCTCATCCTCGAGGCGGCGGCGCAGCGGTGCAACAGTGTAGCGGCGGCTGCGGCGCTCAACCTTGATGGCATATTTGATGTCGTCAATCTCATCCCTACAGTCCATCGAAGCTATGCTCTGTTCACAAAAACTTCTCAGCTTATTCCCTTTGATATTTTGTGCACACTTAGGGTTTAATTATTCATTAAGAGAACATCTCTTCATCTAATACTCTCAAAGAAAGCTGCTGAGAGAACTCATTGGAATTTTGCTTATGAATTTTGCTTATTACTTTGTAAGAACTCAACTGGAATTTTTTTATACAATTTACATGTTGAAGATGACTGCTATGAATTATTTTTCTCAATTTACATCTTGAACACACTCAAGTTACATCTGAATTCGCTTAAAGTTACATATTTATAAGCGTGAATTACATGTCAACTTTTCTCAACAAATTACATTTCACTTACACGTGATTTACATTTTTTATAATGCGAGTTACACCGCAATATAATGCAAGTTACACAACAAAATAAGTTCCTTCTATTCAAAGAAATCATTTTTATAAAAAATCAGTTTTATAGAAATAAAAAATATAGATCGATTTTTATAAAAATAATTTTATAAAACTATATTTCAAGTAGGCTTGGACTCGGGTCGGGCCACCCGGCCCGTGGACCGGCCCGGCCCGCTACTGTGCGGGACCGGGACCGGCCCGGTTCTCGGGTCCGGGTCGG